TTATTCTTTTAATTTTTACAATCAGTCTGTAAAAAGCCATTTTCAACTGGCCATTCAATAAAAAGGTTGTAAAAGTAAAACCTGCAGTCAAAGGTCATTTGTTTACGTCGCCATGGCTCCCAGAGAGCCTGCTGCCCCGCTGCTGGAGGAAACACGTGGTCCATGTTTTATAAAGTGTTCCCTCTTTGGTGCAACTAATTCCCGTCCTGTCCTCCAATAAAACGCCACAGAGCTCCTGTTCACTGTTAAAAAAATAATTTATTGCAGCATGGAGTTGTACCTTGACATATTGACAGTTTTCGTATCAATAATCTAAACTTGCATCCTCTTCAGTCCGACGAGAGCGTTTATAACACGACAGGAACATGTGACGGCTAACACGGTTCACTCACATACAGCCAGCGCTTCCCTCCAGCACAGAAACACACACAATAAACCACTAACACAGGAACACACACTAGTCTGGTTAAATACACAACCGAGTGTCTTCGGGGTACAAGTCAGAAAATACTCAACATACAAAACTGAAGTTGCATCCAGAGAGTTTGAGTCGCTGCACAGTGAATCTGTTTCGGATCTAATGTGGATAATTCACCTAATAATCTCCCCAGAAGCTTTAAACTGGCAGGATTAAAGGAAAACTCCACCAGAAAACTCCTTTTACTCGCCGTCATTGTTGCATTTCTACAGTTCTAATGTGTGAACTGGGATTGGTTTAGTCGTCGATAATCAGGCAGCGATCGGAAATTTCCAGCAGATACAGTCTGCAAAAATACATTTAAAATAATTAAATCAGCATCACAAACGAAAGACGACTCGTTGACTTGGTCGAGAAATGAAAAAATAATACAAATGTGCTTTCTAGTCAAGACTAATTAACTGTATTTTACACAGAAACCTGCCCAGTGTGCTCTTCTTATTTTAAACTGTTTAACTCATAATTCTGAGCAGTGTCCCGTTTTCTCAAATGCATTCTGGGAAATGTAGGAGGCTGATTTTAACTCCAGTGTTTGTTCTGCTGCTCCAGCACTGCAGACGACAGCTCCTCCTCCTGCTGCTCAGGTCTGACTGATCACATGTTTAACTCTGAGGGTTCAAACTGCTGGAAAACACTGATCACAGACTCAACTGAATCCTGAGCTAGTTCTGGTGGAGTTTTCCTTTAAGCGGCGTGACCTCTAGTGTTTGCCCGGTCGGCCTTCAGACCCGAGGCCCGGTTCTTCTATCTACTGGTTCTAGTGCAGCTCAGATGGACACGGGGCAGATGAGGACGCGATCCTCCAGCAGCACGCTGAGGACGAGGAACACGAAGTACAGTACGAACATGGTGAGGCCCAGCATCCGGCTCATCTTCCAGCGGCAGGCGGCGATGGAGATGATGACGAAGAGGAGCATGAGGAAGAGCAGCACGATGGCGCAGAACAGCCCGTTGGAGCTGACGGTCACCGGGTCGCCGTTGTGGATCAGAGTGTACATGAGCCACGGCACCGGCAGGCTGGAGGCAGACAGACAGACAGACAGACGGACTTCAGGTTAACTCAGGTCAGAGGACAGAGGGAGGTGAGAGGAGGACGCTGATGTTCAAACCAGTAGATTCACTGGAACAGTCGAGCTCCTTGTTTTATGCCAATAACTGTATTTTATAAGAGATGCTAAAAAAAAAAATGTTAAAAAAAAGATAGAAAATAACAGGAAAAATCTGAAAATTATATTTTAGCTCATTTAAATACAATAAAACTGTAATTGTTCAGTCACACTGTGGGAGAACCAATCATTTAAAAGAAAATCGAGATTTATAACGCTGACATTATTCACAGTTTTGGCCTGTTTAACAGTTAACATCCATCCATCCATCCTCTATACACCGTTTAATCCTCACCAGGGTCATGGGGGGCTGGAGTCTATCCCAGCTGCTTCAGGGTGAAGGCAGGTTCACCTGGACAGGTCAGCAGTCTATCACAGGGCTACACTTAGAGACAGACAACCAAGCACACTCACATTCACACCTACGGACAATTTAGAATCACCAATTAACCTCAACATGTTTTTGGACTGTGTGGGAGGAAGCTGGAGAACCCGGAGAGAACCCACGCTGCACGGGGAGAACATGGAGACTCCACACAGAAAGATCCCGGTTCCCCCACGGGGACGTGAACCGGCGACCTTCTAGCTGTGAGTCAACGGTGATAACCACTGATTACAGACGTCATCAGAGACTTTCTCCTGCAGACAGGAAGTTTTAACAAAGTTCCTCGCAGGGCTACGGGAAAATGATAAGAACCAAAATGATAAGAATAAAAAGAAATAAATATTTAGTTTTTTTAGTTTTGGTAATTGTGGTTTCTTTCCTCAGGCATAATGCACTCTCTTATTTATCAAAAGGTCAGACGGAACAGAGTTCTGTCAAACCAGGTAACACAGACTCATCGTTACTGTTCACAGACAGATCATGTCTCAGAAAACCCTGAATGACGCTGCAGTTCATGTAAACCATCTCAGCTCAGGAGGAACTAAGATGTTCGATCTCAGTGCCACGTTCGATTAAGTCTCTGTTTGGTCCTTCTTTAACTAAAACACCGAACACCTGAAGCAGTTCGCTTGTCTTTGGTTTAGAGCTTTCACCGACTCACCCCACAGTGATGTCGAAGATGTTGCTGCCCACTGAACTGGACACGGCCATGTCCCCCAGACCTTTCCGGGCCACGATCACGCTGGTGATCAGGTCGGGGATGGAGGTTCCAGCCGCCAGGATGGTCAGACCCATGATCTCCTCGGAGATCCCGACCGTCTCGCCCACCTGCAGACACAAAGACGTGAACACGGTCAGAAACAGGCTGTGGACCATCTGGTTGACGTCTGATCAGGGGTCACAGCTCAGATTAAAAATCATCAAAAAGTTCCAACACTCTCACACATCAGGACGCCTCACTATCGACACCAGACCCGGGTCCAGATTATTCTGATCACTTTTAGGGTCCCAGTCAACCATTAAACTCAAACTGGAGGATCAGAACTGGTGACCAGAGGCGGTCTGCAGCTACCATCAAGAGAAGAAACCGTCTTCAAAACCAGGAAAGTGTTCACTGTTTGTCCTGACAACATCCTCCAAACATGCTCTGAACGTTCCAGTTTAAATGTTACGTCCTCGTTAACTTTTACTGTCATTTAAATGATAAACATCCTCAAAACATTCTTTGAACATTTGATTAAATCTGTAGAACATTATTAGAACTCCTTGCTCATGTGGTGGTCATTCCCTGCTCGCTGTGATGACTCGTCAGCTCAAGAAAGAAAATAAGTACAGAGTTTTACTGAAAGTAAATTCTCCTGAAAACAACAGGAGTGAAGCGTGGACGGACCTGATGAGCCCACCACACCATCAGGTAGGAGAACACTCCGATCCACAGGATGGAGCCGATGAACGTGATCGCAAAATATCTCCTGGACGCCTGGAAGACACAAAACGAGTTCACATGAGTGGTTCACAAACAGCCACAGAACATGAGAGCTTCTAGAGACAGAGGTCTGGATCCAGAAACATAAACTGGGCTCCTTCATTAAACATGATGGAGTGACATGAACGATGTAAAAACTGTTTCTATCGTCAGACAACTCACTAATTATCCAGATATGTTGTTACTTTTTAAAGGAGTAATAAATAAACAGCAAAGCGTTCCTTCCTTCTTGAATCCACTGAATTAGCTGAAACCATCGACTCTTCGGTTCATCATCATTTTACATCAGTGGACATTTTCCAAATTTAAAATAGACTATCTTATACATGAGGCTATAGTACTATAATGCTGAGTTTAAATAAAGTTAATAAGCCTGGATATCAACACAGCATCTGGATGTTAATGCACAGTGACATCAAAAGCTTAAATATTGAAGAATTAAAACCTAAAAAAACACAGACGTTATCCCAGCAAAGCATCAAAAACCTGTGTTCATATAATGATGCAACAAGGTGTCAGTAAGTTGGGTATAAACAAAGCAAAATGTCTCAAATCTGGATTTTAACAGACCACAACATCAAAAACCTGAATACTGACGCAGCAAAATGTCAAAAACCTGAATAACACAGAATTAAAACTTTCGAAAATCTGCATACTATCATAAAAACCTGGACATGAATGCAGCAAAAACAATCAAAAGCTGGATATTAAAGGAGTAAAACCTCAAAAACATGAATATTATCACAGCAAAGTGTTAAAAACCTGGATGTTGATACAACAAGGCGTCAAAAACTCAAATACTGACACAAGAAAAGGTCACAAACCTGGAAATGAATCGGCCACAATGTCTGAAACCTCAATATTAAAAAAACCAAAATGTCAAAATACCTGAATATTGACACGACAAATATGAAAACCTGGATATTAACAAAAGAAAAATGTTTAATATCTGTATGTTAATGCAGCAAAACCTGAAAAACCTGAACGTCAAACAATAAAAAACCTGGATATGAAGCAGCACAATGTCTAAAACTGGTTTATTAATGCAACACTACATTAACTCCTAAATATTTAAGCACCAAATAAGCCTCCAAACCTAGAAACGAACTCACCACGACATCAAAAACCTGAATACTAATGCAACAAATGATCAAAAACGAATCAATAAACTGAACAAAACTCCTGGGACCAGCTGATAATCTGCGCTGCTCTAACTAATCCTAAACCATCCTGTGCAGGAGAGCAAATGGGCGCCGGTTGCCACGGTAACGGCGATGCTGCTCCTCACCAGGTTGCGGACGTCGGGCAGCGTGAGCCACAGCGGGAACACGATGGGCAGCAGGAACAGGTAGGTGGCCTGTTTCCTCCTGGTCTCGGGCCACTCCAGGGACAGCGGCTCGTTCTCTTCCTCCTTGTCTTCCTCTTTGTCTCCGTCTTCATCGCCATCATCTTCTTCATCGTCTTCGCTCTCGCTGGACTCGCCGCTCTCCTCGCCGCCGCTGTCGTCCTCGTCGCCGCCGCCGTCTGATCCCTCTGATCCTCCAGCTGGAGCTGCTTCCGCCTGCAGGACAGAAAACAGCCAGATGAAGGAAATCTATCCATCCATCCATCCATCCTGAATCTATTTCACAGATATGTCACTCCTGGGTTCAATGTTAATGTTAATGGTCTTTTGTTGTATATTTGACTCCTTTGCACAAACAATGGAAGTGAAAGCAAGAATAAGCGGTTGTACTTATTTATTCAGGTGTGAAGTTCGTGTACTGCTGCCACACCAGAACAGAAACACACATCAGCTCCATGTTGTGATGTTATGAAAGCTTGTTATAATAACGTAGGTGCAACATAATGTCTTCAATATAATATCAGGCTCTCTGTCCAAACTCTTTCACTATTTATGTACAGAAGCGTTACTATTTTATGCATAGAGGCTTTATTTTTTTTTTTACCGTACTTGTTTTGAGAGAACAAATTTTTTACATCCATCCATCATCTATACATCCTCACTAGGGTCACGGGGGGCTGGAGTCTATCCCAGCTGACTCAGGATGAAGGCAGGTTCACCTGGACAGGTCACCAGTCTATCACAGGGCTACACTTAGAGACAGACAACCAAGCACACTCACATTCACACCTACGGACAATTTAGAATCACCAATTAACCTCAACATGTTTTTGGACTGTGTGGGAGGAAGCTGAAGAACCTGGAGAGAACCCACGCTGCACGGGGAGAACATGGAGACTCCACACAGAAAGATCCTCATCGGGACGCGAACCGGTGACCTTCTTGCTGCGAGGCAACAGTGCCAACCACTGAGACACCTTGCAGCCCTGTTTTCTTTTTTCTTTAATATTTTAGTTTTATATCATCCATGAGCCGATACAACAGAGTCTTTTTTTGGTGCATCTTTCTGAATGACATTAAAAGTTCTTCTGACCGGTTCAGGTCATTACAACCATAAATCAGAGGAAACAGTCCTTTTTCTTTCTGTTGTGTGTTTTAACGTCGTCTGATGAAAAATAAAATCAGAAATATGAATCTGCAGCTCATTTATTCAGGTTTAGGGAAACGTTAGTGACGCTCATCAGCCTCTTATTTCCCAGATGTCTGGTTTTAATTAAGAAGTGACTGAATTCAGTGTTTCACAGACATGAAGGACGTCAGACGCTGCTGCTGCTCTTCACGGCTGTTCTGCAGCACAGTGAAGGGAAACGAGAAGTGTGTTTGCAATAAAAAGTCACGACTGAACCCTAATCTTTCCTGCCCACCTTTGTTTCTTCCGGCTGTTCTGTCGTCTTCTGAGCCTCTTCGGTCTTGGCGGGCTGAGAGGTGGACGGTTCGGCTGCAGCGCCACCTGCTGCTCCGGCGGCAGAAGGCTGCTCAGACTTTGGCTTGGGATCAGCGTCTGAAGGGAAACACACAGAATGGATCTCTACACAGCAGATATAGCAACAGTACGGCATTATGTGAGGTCACTAGTTGTCTTTATTATGTCTCAAACTGTAGAATTCACCTTCATGACTTCTCACTGACCTGAATGTTTAAAATGATTTTGCCTTCATGGCTGAAGGAGTCACGGCTTAACGCTGTCTGTTGGTGTTTCCATCTACGGAACGTGATGTCTTGAAAGCATGGAGGGGATTTATTCACATTTGGCACAAACGTCCACTCAGACTGGAGGATAAACTGATTTTGGGGGTCAGACGTCAGAATTCTTGAGGTCATTGTGACAGAATTTCACACAATTGTTCAAGAACATGAAATAATGAAGTGATGACATTTAAAATCCCCAAAAAATCGCCGTCACTGTGACATTATGACATTCTGCAAAAACCCTTTTCTGGTCATTGTTTGATCCCTTCACTCTAAACTTCAGACAGCAGCAGCAGCTCCTGTAACTAAAGGTTTTGCTGTTATTAGACACTTGCTGCTGATAATATTTTATGAACAAGGGTTTGTGTCTGAATATTTTGCACAAATCATTTGAATGAGAGAGTTAATTTTAAGCCAGTAGAGCTTTAATAGTGAGTGACACTGGGCTACATACAGGAAAAATGACATGGGGGGAAAAAAAAGTCATGTTTGGAGAACCAAGCTCAATCTAATAGACGATAATTTTGTGAAACTTGAAAACTATTAGAGGATAAATAAATCCAACAGCCTCCATTAATGCTGTAAACATAAAGTATGTCTTAATTCTTCATGTTTGGTTCTGGATTTATCAATTTATCCATAAATTCTGATCATTTTATAAATTAAAAGCAGTTCATTCTCCATATGTGACCTCCAGTCCGGTGGTGTTTTCTAATGATCTGAGTGCAGAAGCTTCATTTTACTGCTGATTCACGTTTTAAACACTGTTTGTCAGAAGAAGCCTGAAGGACTTTACAGAAAACTACGGATGTGATAAAAGTTCAGCTCAAACAGGTTTCTTCTAAATAAGAAATCTGGTAAAACTCAGCTCACAGATATTTAAAAACCTGTGGCTGAGGAGCTGCTGTTTGTTTGACACTGTGACACAGATTTTAATGTGGAGCTGACGGATCTGGAGGCCGCTGGGGTTAGTAAACGTGCTCCACTAGAGGAGGGGGAGGGATCCACATCAGCACACATCGTCCCATCTGCATGCTAATTCTGGGCCCTGATTGATTGGGGCTCGTTGAGGCCTCTCCAGCCTCCTGCAGATCCACTCTGCCGAGCACCTCATGACTCTGAAGCACCTCATTACTCCACAGCGTGACGCACGGACGCACACGGCCGCTGATTGTGGAGGAAAAACCTCCTTCAGCCTCAAACCGTCTGATTATTGCACGACAACCAGCGTCAAAAACGGCAAAAAAATAAGCTTAAATATCACCAAAAATATCAATAAATACAACATTCACTCACTGCAACATAAAGTCCTGCAACTCTAAGGAGACAGAACCATAACTAGAAACAGAGCGATGTCATCTGTGCAACATGACAGAGTTTATTGCCATAAGTCCTTACAAAATTAAAGAAAAGCTGAATTTCTTTGATTATTTCTTGCACAAACATTTTAAACTGGAATCAACATTTCATTAAATGAGCACAGATGAAAACATTATGGTGACAACACACTACAGACTTTAAACAAAGCTTAAAACCTTTATGTTTAAAATGACTTCAACACACAGCCGCATTATTTCTGTTTTTATGTACACACTTTTAGACGTATATTTTAGTGTGCTTCTAGCAGTTTATTTTTTACTATTTTAGTGTTATTTTTATTGTTTTCATGCAACTCTCTTGTTTTTACTGTGAAGCACTTTGGTCACCCGTTGGGCTGTTGTAAAGGTCGATACAGATAAACTTTGACTGACTTTGATTTAACCAGTTTCCACACTTGTCTCCTCTCTGTTTTGCTAGAAAGGTTTCCTGCAGTTCAGCCGAAAAGTTGCTGAATTTTTCTGTCACGTGATTGTTGGTCACAGCTCAGTCAGTCGTGTGTTAAGGAGCTGAAATGTATTGATTTTCTTCTACAGAATCTGGAAAATTCAAACTGTTATTTTTGGCGAATATTCAAATGAGATGCGAATAAAGTGATTTTGATAAAAATATTAGTTTTTAGCTTAGCTCTGGTTATTACAGTTTTACAACAAGTCTCCTGACCACCAGCTCAAAGTGAGATCTGAGAAACTGCAGCAAAATGGACATTTTTGCCTCAGCAATGCAAAATTATTTCCAAAACAAACAACAGCTTTCATGCTCTGATGTGACTGACGCTGCCCTAAAAATTCTAACGTGCAGCTTCACCAAATATGATGCAGCAGATGCTTCATCTATTTTAGCAGCAGACGGCCTTTTCAGCTGAGGTGGTATGGACATCTGATTCAGATGCCTCCAGAGAGGCTTCCTCTGGAGGTCTTCCGAACACATCCACCAGGGAGGAGACGCCGGGGCAAACCCAGAACCCGCTGGAGAGATTATATCTCTTAGCTGGCCTGGGAATGCCTCGGGATCCCCCAGGCAGAGCTGGAGAGCGTCGCCGGGGGGAGGGAGGTCTGGGACAACCTGCTCCGCCTACTGCCCCCGGATAAGCGGAAGAAAATGGATGGATGGACGGCCTTGTCACTGAATGTACAACACTCTGCAACTTTTGATAAACTAGAGTTCATAGATTATCGTTTCCTCTGCTGTCTAAATGTTCTGCTCCACAAGTGTTAGAGACGGATAACACCAAATCTTTGTCTTTCTTTCATGCATAAAATCTGCTGTGTGAAACTTACATCTGTTGTAAACCTACTTTGGACACAGCTAGACTAACAGTTTCCACCTGCTTCCAGTCTTCACACCAACACGTTTGCCCAGCTTCTCTCAGAACAATAAATAAATAAGAATAGTGACTTAATGACTGAATGCTTTTACCACAGCGTCAGATCGTACCGTTCCAGAAAGGCGTCACATTTCCACGTACGACTCACCTTCCCCGTGGCGGTGATGACACTTGCTGGTCGACGGGATGTTCAGAGGTTTTACTTTGTTCTTGGCTGAAATTAAGAGAACTGACGCTCATAAAAGCCTCATGTGAAACTTCAGATGATGGTCTTCCACAAACAGATTAGTGCAACACAAGTCGACATGCCTCATTCTCACACACTGGTCGCTCTGCAGCAAGAACAAGCACTGACGTTCAGCGAGCCAACCCTGTGCTACACCTTGGTCAATGGTAGGTGTGTCACTGAGGGACCTTTATATGTCAGTCTTCTGACTTATTCCAACCATCAAATTAGACAATCAAATAAAAGAATCAGGGTCTCAAATAAAGTTATCTGCCAGAAGTACAACTTGCTTATTGCATTATAATTAAGGCACTTACAAAGTCCACTTAAAAAAACTAAAAATATCACTGATATGTCCCCCAGTCTGTGAGATTCCACAAATAAAAACAAATAAAAACACAAAAACACATCCCTACTTAAGATCAGAAGCTTTGGTAACAATCAAATCCTCATGAAGGCTTCATGTCAGAATCAAAAAGGCTTCAGTGCACAAACAGGTTCTTTAACAATCCTGTGGTTTTTACTCAGAGTTTAACAAACTGTGTGAGAAACATCAGTGATCTTCACAACAACACACAAACACATGAACATGCAACTACCAAGATACACAAACGACCATCTCATATAAACACCATCCAGAGTTCAGAAGCCAACCAGACTGAACACAACAACAGCAACAACACAAACACGACACGACAGCAGCGTTTCCACGTCTTACCTTTCCTCTGAATAGGCCCCTCCCCTCTGACATCACCATTAAACGATGTCTCTGATTGGCAGATACACAACATAATGAGTCTCCTGCAGTCATGTGACTCCTCAGTTATCAGCTACTCATGTGAAGTCAAAGGATTTTACGACTTGAGTTTCCAAACGGTGATAAAGAATCTCTGCACACAGATTCAGTCAACAAAAGGTCACAAGTTCAACAGTGATGAGTCAGATCATTATGAGGCTCCTGAATAACTAACAGCTGGTTCTTTGTGGGTCACTTTAGTCCTCAGAGACTGTTTTAAAGAGTCTCCAGGTGGACTGGCTCATCGAAATGTTCTCATCATTTATCTCTGGTGTAACTTCTACAGGGACAGAAGCTCTACTTGTCTGTGTAGGTCTTGTGTTGTTGATATAGTTCTATGTTCAGAAATCACAAGATAAGAAAAGAGAACCTTCTATTGATCCCACAGTGGAGGCATCTGAATGTTACAGCAGCAAAGATATAAATATGTGAACGGTGAGTCTGTTGTTTTCATTTCTGTATAAAACGTCCAGGTTTAAATGATGCCATGTGCTGCAAACACAAGCTTTGTATGTTTATCTGTGAATCACTGAGGCTCATGAGGCTGCAGGTGGAGTTCAGTCAGTGTTCTGTTCATTTAATTCAACTAAAAATAACATGCAGCTTTTAGTTTTTACCCCACAACCAGCTGATTGGTTGAAAAGTAAGTACAATTTCAGTCAACTAAGATTTTTCTTAACTGCAGCCCTGGTGCCTCCATAACAACGATCCACTGAGGCTTGACAAGACTTCTGTTGGTTCGAGGCGCTAAGATGTTAGCATGAGGTCTCTTGGAGCTTCTATATATAAGATGTGTTCTGAGAACGACGAGAATCATCTGTCCACTTAGTCTAATATATGAGAGACCTCGACATGTGGTGTTGTTACCAGATAAGCATGTTGTTCTCTTCATCCGAGAGTCATCATAATGATTTGGCTCATCTGTGGACATTACAGCCAGACAACAGTGACTTGTGCTACTTTATGTTATTATAAGTCGTCTGCAGGGTTTGATAAGCCAACAGAGACAATGAAACACACAAACCCACGACCACAAAACAGCCACTACAGCCAGGCGACACCTCGTCGCTGCTCTTACCTCTCCTGACTTTCCTCGGGCCGGGGGTTTTTACTGCCCCTCTAAGAGCTGCTTCTAGGATGGAAACCACAGAGACCATTTTGTGGATCAGTCAGAGTTTCACTTACTTTCTACAGCGTGACATATCCGTGTCCAGTACCACCTTGTGTCCTTTCTAACTGATAAATCATCTCAAATCAGCCTCAAAAAACTATCAGAGAATGTGAGATGAATTTAGTCACTTTTAATCTCTTCACTGCAGCGTGTGGATTCTGACAACGAGAATTTATTCACATGTGAAACAAAAGTGTTCATTAACCAAAATAAAGAGCTGAGTCATACAAATGCACGTCTCAAAATTAATCACCATTTATAAGCAACACACTTGAAATTATAAATTTGTTAGTTTTACAGGTGTCCTGTGCTCTTTCACTTTAACTGTACATCAAAACCTCAGCACTTCCACATATTATCCTGATATCTAGTGAACATGTAGATGCAAGATGTGGGAAACAGGAAATGTAAACTTTTAAGAGGTTCATATTTTAATGGAGACAAAATCAATTAAGTACAAATTAGCTCCCCCCCCTCCCCCAGTTCCTACTTTTTCTTGGAGATAAAGTCATTTATGGTTTCAAACTTGGTCTGTCAAGTTTACATGAGATGTTATCATGCATCAAATAAAATTTCTGTAAATTTAAGAAGCAGAAGCAGTTGCAGAACGCGATCAAACTCCAAACGCAAAGTGCTCCAGAAAAAATAAAAAATCTTGTTCTTCTGTTTAAACTGCAGTCAACACCTGATATTTACAGCAAATGACGAGCGTTCGCTGCCGACAGACACACGTCGAGGTGTCAGACGTCTGGACATAATGTGACTTTGTCCACTTACCAACAGAATTTTAAAAAAAAATAACAACAATCTAAGCCCAGAAATGCATCACGTAGTTGTTCAACAATGTTAAAGCCTTTAACAAGGAGGATCGTTCCTTCAAAGTCTAAAAAGAAGAAGCTGCTTGAAGACGTGTACAGGAGACGGCTGTATCAGAAATTAATGTCTTTTACCATGAATCTGTTAATAAATAAAAAAACAATACCAATAAATGGAAAAATGTTGAATATGTATGATGTAATTCTAGATATGAACTTGTTAGCAAAGAGCGTCTACATGATTTAATGCTATAAAGTCGTGAGCTCTGCAGCTGCAGCGGTCGAACAGCTCAGTGGAGGCGTCTTCATGATGAACCAAAGAGCTACAAACACAAGTTTAATGAGGGATAAATACCAGCCACAACCTGGCAACCCAAACACTATTGGCTCATAACTGATTAATTAGGGTTTACACACTTATTTATATATCTTTTGGATCCCCTATTACCTCCGTCTTTAATAAATTCCCCTCCACAGAGGAATCTTTACCAGAAAGAGGCACCTTAAAGAAATAAAAATCCTAATCTTATTACTGAGCTGCACTGATTGAAACTGATCCACAAGCCTAAGTCAGGTTCCTTGTGCTCATGGTAAGTGGAAGCACCACAGTCTTCTCCTCTCCTGCCAGGCGAAGCACTGGGTCTAGAAATCCACCGCAGCACGACGACCGCTCCGTGACTGAATGTGTGCGCAAAATAAACCCACAGACGCAGCTATCGGCAAACTAAACCTCCTCAGGTTCGTGTTTCGATGGATTCTCAGCTCCGATCCCACTGCTACACCAGTTCCGCGCAGATAAAGAGCTTGGTCTGCTCGTACTCTGGCTCTTATCCAGCTTTTATTAGCCTGCATTGGAAAGCTGATTAAGGATCAGCGGTGGCCGAGCGCTGCGAGAGCGAGGAACAGCGGCACGGTGAGTTCGAGGACTTGATGAAGGTCGCCCGGCTGATCACGCTACGCTGACTTGCAGGAAGGAACAGGACGGATAGAGCTGAGTCACTGTCGGCTTCACTGCATCACGAGCTGGAACATCCGGTCGACTAGTCGATCGACAGCAAATTATTTAAAAATAATTAGACCTATGTTAAGCCTGTTAAGCATTTAAGAGCAACTTAAACATTTATTAAGAGTTTCTCACACATTCTAATGTAGGTGTAAGCAGATTTATTTGCTTACTAATGAGTTTGTTAACGAGTAAAGGCTGCAAAACTTAACATAAAATAAATAATAGTCTTGACAAGAGAAGTTTGAACTGCTGACAAATACTGACCGTTAATAAAACATGTTGTGTCTTGTTTCCACTTACAGCTTTTTTATAGTGAATAGAAACCATTTATTCAGTGTTTACATGCTGTTAATATATACTTAGTAACTGGTATTACGCAGAATAAATTAACTGATTATTTAGTTTTTGTAATAATCAAATGATGTAGAAAATCTCAACATGGTATTTAAAAGGAAAGATCTGTTTAAAGACGAATTAGAATTTTATTGGCTTCCTTACTGGATAAATGGATAGTTTTATGTTAATTTAATTGCACTATTAAATGGTAAAGTTGTTAAACTGTAAGGCATTTAGACCTGCAGTATCTGTTTTATCAGGTGATCTAAGATACTGAATATTAATCTTAGAAAATACACATCACAGCTTGTCAGATGAAGCTGCATTTAAAAAAAAATCCATTTAAAAGTTTACTCATTTGTTTTCTGAAATGCAAAGAAAACTTCTCACTGGAAAAAGGCTGTGTCCTTTAAATCATTTAGACAGACAGTTTAATCATGCTAAAACCTTAAAGAACTGAATTCTTTAAACTTCACTGAGACTTTAAAGATTCTGCCTTCGGTTTGCTCCAAACACTTTCCCCTCCAGGCTGCAGAGGTGACCTCATTACTGCAGGAACTGAGCTGCTGTTACCTTCTCCCAGAGGGTCCAGTGTGTGGATCATCAGCTGGAAGATGGTGCTCCTCAGAGAGGTGTTGTGGAGGGACGCCGTGCTGCCGCCTCGCTGCAGGACGGGACGAACCTACAGGTCAGAAGACACACAGTCACACATCAAAGTGCAGCAGTTAACTTCCAGGTAACACAAACCGTTGAGGACCAACAGCAAAAACTGTATTTCATTGTAATAGCCCACATCATCAGCTCAAGTTCAGTTTTTATTGTTGAAGAGATTCAAATATAGATTAATATTTTCATTTGTTGCTAAAATGGAGAAAGGCCAATTATTGTCCAATGAGCTGTTTTGCAAATACTGTAAACTTGAATTGTGATGCACCGGTGATGGAAGCTGCAGGAGGTATTGTGGGAGTGTTGATGCAAAAGCCTTGAAACTTAAAAGAATAAAGAAAAAAACAAAACCGAATTCTTCCAGGGTTTCATATGGAACAAACACAGAACTAATCCTGTCAACTTGCAAGGTGGAACTTTTCAAATTCTTCTTCTTTAGAATCGGTTTCTGGTTCAAACATGTGTTGCTGATTTACCTCAACATTACAACTCGCCATTGTGTAGCACAGACTAATGTTTGACGAGAGTCACAGGTGAGCTGGTGTGCTCGAGGTGCAGTGAATGAGGAGGAGTGGATGGTAGACTTTATGTATCTGCACATTTGAGAAGAAAGAACAGTGTAGAGTTACATCGAAGCCACGAGGGCAGCAGGGGACGTGTAAATGTTTAACTTTCAGAGTTGATATTTTTTAGGGGTTAAATCAACAACCAGAGACGTTACAAGTTATTTTGCAAGATTTTTGTTTCATTCCCAGAAGACTGGAGACATTAAAAGTCAGCTAATGCTTTATTTTGAAAGAATAAAAGCTGCAAATGTGTCATGTTTAGAAATTAAATCTAGAAAGACTTTATAGATCTGCACATTCTAGTGTTGAGTTCCATCCAAGTCATTTTACACAGAAAAACTTGTAAATATTTAACTTTAATACACAGACATGTTTTTTTTTTCAGGATTAAATTAACCAGAGAGGGACTTTCAAAATGTCTGCAGGATTCTTGATTTATTTTAAGTTAGCAAGAGACATGAATGAATGAAAATGAGCTAAAGACAGTTTTTGAAACAGCCAAAGCTGCAGATGTGTCACTTTTAAACCTTTTTTTGTTTGTTTGTTTGTTTCTTATAAGCTTATTCTGGAGGAATTGAAGCTGGGACTTGCAGCACAGGTCATTTCCATCTATGTGGTGGCCACCCTGACCACTAGGCTACTGGGTCGGCCCAAAGAATTTCTAAGACTTGTAAAAATGAGTTTAACACCTTCATGTGATTAGAACTGTGTAGAAGATCCGTTAATACATACAAAAATAAAATAACTGCAGCCCTTTCAAGACATTTCCATGACAAAATGATACATTTCTTTATTCCAAAAGGTGGAAGACTAATTTCTGCCTTTAAGTTGGAACTTAATTCACAACCATTCATCGTTTCAATGGATGAATAAAATGAGAACAACAACGATAAATTCAGCTTTTCGTACCCTCAGTCTTGCTTTGTCCTCTTGTGGATCCGGCAGCAGTTTGCTGGACTGAGGGCTGCTGGGAGGTGGTGCCGGTTCTGGTTTGGATTTCTCTTCAGGTTTTGGAGGATCAGCTGGAGGAGCAGCAGCAGCAGGAGCAGGAGGAGGAGGAGGTGGAGGAGGTGGAGGAGCTTCACTCTCCTGTAAAATAACGGTTTAATCAGCAGCAATTCACTTTGCTACATGCAGACATGCTCACTGAGTGACAGACTTTGTGGATTACAGATGTTCACATTCCCATTTTCAGTAATTAAACATGTTTGATTTAATCCTGACGAACTGAAACTCGGTCTAAGCTATGATTAAATCTGCTGACTGTCAAAGGACAAGTGTAGTGGTGGGTCATGTCCAGTGTTCCTGGTCAGTCTGAACTAAAGCTTTTGCAGTAATCCAGTAATCTAGTTAACACTGTAGGCTGCAGGAGTTTCTCACTATCAGCAAAAAAGCACCAAACCTTAAGCCTTGAAGTGGATCCTTCAGTGCTTCATCCTGCTGCCCTGCACCACATCCAGCTTCGCTAGTTCTGCTGGTACTGATCTTACAAGGTGCATAGAGCCAAATTAAGCTGTGTTTGACCAAATGACACTTAGCTAACTTGCTCAATTTTGCTCCTGGACCCTTCAAAAGTTTATCTGTAAGAAGATGCTGGTCTCCAACAGTTCTTTGCCTTCATACAGATGAGCCGTAACACTATCAGTGACGTGAATAACATTGCTCATGTTGTACAACGCAACGTTCTGCTGGGATACTTTGTGTACTGACATTCATGTGGATGTTAGTCGAACATTTATCACCCAAAAAACACTCCTGCAGACCGTCTTTATAATAATGACGGCCGCTGCCTCCCCTCGTAAGAAAATGTGTCCTGCCACACTGCAACACCAGCTCAGGAACGACTCGAAGGACATGACAAGGAGTCTTAGGTAGTGAACCAGCCTCCAAACTCCCAGGATCCAAATCAAGCAGCCACGAGTTGCATCAGAACAAGCCTGATTCACAGAGGCCCAGGTCTGCAACCCACAGGACCCAACAGATCCAATGGCCCAGGAGTCAGTGTAGGCTTGGTCACACTGGCACATATTTGGAACCTTAACGGGTCAGCGCAGCTTCAGAAACCGCTTCTCCTCACGCCGTTCTAACATCACATCCAGGGGGCTGCCTCTAAAATCTACAAATGACCATCAAGCTGTGGCACTTTTCATGTGACTGAGTGCAACACTACGAAAACCTCTCAGGTGCCTGAAAATGTGCACCATAAGCCTGAATTATACACATTCTACATGAGAGCTGGTTTTCTATCCGCTTATACGCAAATCAAAAGTGAAGAAAGAACATGAAGGTCCTATCACGTTTGTTTCATGGCACTTATGCAGGTTGTTTTCTCCTGACTGGCTCCTTGCCTCTACTCTCAGATGTACGTCGCTTTGGAATAAATCGTCTGCCAAATGAAATTGTAGAATTGTAGACCTGAAAACAAACTCCTTCAGCAGCTGTCATTGTAGTTCTAACACATAAAGACACGATTAGATTGTAAATATGACTTACTAAACTAAAACAGTCCAGTTAACATGACTGCCCGGATATAGACAACAAAATGGAGAATTTTTACTGCAGGTGACATCAGGAATAAGTGAGATACATTATAGACAACTTACATAAAAGAATCCAGAGAGAACGATGAAGCGGCAAAATTTTCATACAAACCACTAAATAGCTACTGAGCAAATACATAATTAAGCATTTATTATATTTTATTTTAGTTGCTTTTGTTGTTTATTCAGATAAACACATTCAATTTATATGAAGTTCCTTCAAATCATGCGTTCCCCTGCCTGAGTCCAACATGATCTGTAACGTTCTGTGTGTTTTTTTGAATATTCAACAGGTTCTCTTCATTGAACACATTTATAGAAAGAGCTAAAAGAAAAAAACATTAGATTGTGGAAAATTTAAATGAATGGGTTAATATGAACAAAAACGAATATATACTAGAGTGAATTTCACTAATTCTGGATAATTAATGTGGCAGCACGCCTCATTACACTCACTGTTTGGACTTAAGGAGCACATGCTGATTGCAGACATGCTTCAGACTAATTGAAGATGCACTTGTGGTACTTGAAATATAGAAACACAGTTCTGCATGTTTATTGCAGGTTTAGACATTTGCTGCTCGCTTCCAGCAGTTCTAGTCTGCAGGCGTTCTGCAACAAGCTCACGTTTTGAGCGTGTTTGAAATGAAATGACGCCTCCGTACTCTGGCATTTCAGAGTGGTGTCAGAAGCACGGTGACATTTCCGTCACTTGGCCGCTGTGACGCGCTGCCTGCGACACCTGGAGTCCTTTCTGTTCACAGGCATCAAAGGATTTTACACAAATACAGGCTGTCACCTGCTCAGACCCCCAAATCAGCGTTTCTCTTTCAGTGTGTCTGAGCAGGCGGCAGTCCCAACTGTGAGGAGATGAAAGGACAGAAAACATGGACTAGATGGAAGTCTGTCTGCTAACAACTGCTCTGCACAGACATCTGCTGCGGCTGCATCCATCTTGTGTCATGTCTGATTACTGATGTTTTTTTTTCCACTTTGCTCAGATAAAATAGTTTTAAATCAACACCTGTTGCAGTTAATTCAGCACTTCATGTATTTCTCTTCATTGTCTTTCCTTCTGCCAACACTCGCTGTTATGCAAAAACCAAAACCAGTGATTTAAGGAATGAGATTTTTTTCAATATGATTTTGCAACAGTGATTTAATTTGTGATATAATTTTTTAAACTCAAGCTTCAGTTCAATATTTACTGTGTAGTAGATTTAAAACGTGATGGAGCGCAAATGGGTGCGAAAAACAAAACGCACTTATCCATATTATATATATGGCAAAAAAGGTGAATAGAAAGAACAATATATGAATAATTACTTCTGTGAAGGGGACTGAGTAAGATGTATATGAGTTGCCATCGCCAGTGTCGCACTACAAGAAAGGCATGAATATGGAAAACCTTTGACACTTTAAACTCAAGTCAGATCTGCTGCATAATGTGCATCCATAATTTCAGCTTTTGCAATCTGGAAATTGCTTTTTTGTCCAAAAAAGCCCCATTTTTTTCCTCAAACAGCATTGTAGTGTTGAGCAAAAACAAAAATAAACTGTGCATTTGTTGGGGACCAACTTTAACTATCAACCATTTTAACAAGTGTTTAGACCAGCAGCTGATTTTGTTCTTGTCACTGTTGATAAACTATAACTGAGTCTATCCAACCTCATTCATTAAATTAGTGATAATCCTGTTGTGCTATTGTTCTCCAAAAAGATGGTTTGTTCTTTAAGTTTTGCTTTAAGCATGTTTTTTTTTTTCTTAGTGCATCACTGAGTAGTGGGACAAGAGGTCAACCGATTATTGCAGATTTTTAACCAATTCCTGATAAACTACTTTGGTCTCCAGCAATGTCCCGCCCACAACACTATCTGATTGGTTACAACATCACGAGTAACAGCCAATCAACACTCAGGGATACACCTTGAAAAGTTTTTTTTAAAAAATGTAGTTATGAACAAAAACATTTCAACAAGGTTGACACCAATATTTTCATTTTTTCTGCAAAAATATATTTGTTGCTTCCAAACACTTGATATCGGTCTAACTGATCACTAGTAACTGATACTGGCTCTGAAGAAACCATGTTGTTCAACCCCAACACTGAACAACAGTTAGATTTTGCAAAGACTTGCCATGTCGGTGGTTGACCACATATCAACGTAGACTAAACTATTACTTGTTTGGTCTGATGTTTTGTCCAATGAAGCTTCAAAAACTCCAAAATAATTACCTTCCTGTCATACATTATTACGAAAACCAGCAAATATTTCATAGTAATACCTTTAAAAACTAAACCTTTAAAAACCTTTAAAAACTAAAACTGGTGAGTTTTCAGAATTTGTTTTAAAAACAGACAAATAATTATCCAAAGAATTACATATTTCCTGTTGAAAAGCTAATCAAATGATTAGTTGTTTTGGCTCAAATTTCAAAGACATGAAACCACAGAGTCAAAATTCGAAGTTGCAGGTCGTTGAAGGCGCCAACTTGTGGCTGTAATCAGTTATTTGAAGCTGCCAATATTAAATAAAGAGCTTCCTGCTACATCACAGAGCTGAAGAAGCAGCCTTTTAGATCTTCATTTAACTGTTAAATCAGCTGAAGGAAACCAACTCAGACAGTGACAGCAGGAACTCTACTGACACTGCTGTGCATTGCATCCTCTCCTGAGATAAATTCAACGAGAACACCCATGTTTTGTCTCCAGATGTGAGTCCAAACAAGGCATTAACTGACCTTCTCCGGCTCCTCTGCGGTCCAAACCTTCACGATACTCATGTGCTTGTTGACCTGGGTCTTGACCGCATGCTCGATCTGACTGTTGAACTTCATGAAGCTCACGTAGCTGATGTAGCCTAGCACCAGCAGCATGCTCTCCCACCACAGGATCATGTTGTCCAGGAAGAAGACGATGAGCATGATGAGGTCCAGGATGTAGAAGGTCACGTCTCTGAAGAGGGGCCACCAGGTGAGGTGCAGCATCTCCCGGGAGAAGATGGCGCACATGCCAATCACAAAGAGGATGTTGAAGACGGCCGAGCCCACGATGGTGCCGATGCCCACGTTGCTGTGGGAGATGAAGACGCCGATCAGGGAGGTGAAGAGCTCGGGGGCTGAGCCTCCGGCCGCCATGAAGGTCGCCCCGGCCACGTCATCGGAGATCTGCAGCTTGTTGGTGATGACCTCCAGCCCAGGGACGAAGAACTCATCGCAGACGATGGCCAGGGCGACAAACATGTAGGTCATGCCCAGGATGTGCAGGACCACCCAGCCTTGTCGCCGCTGCTCCACTGAGAAGATGTCCTCGGGGTACTCGCCCTTCCTGTGAGGGGGCTGCGGTGGGGGAGGAGATGGAGCTGCAGTGGTCAGAGGTGGAGGAGGAGGTGAGGTCGGTTTGGGAGGCTGAGGATCTACATAGATACACTGTTCTATATCTGTCCTGTTGACGATGATCACCAGAGGAGGTTTGGTGCCCTCAGGTGAGACGACCACCTCCTCCGTCTCATTGGACGCCATCACCTCTCGAACATGGACCTCCACCACATCACCACCGCCCCCCTCTGCTCCGTCATCTGCCCGGGCGGAGGCTCGGGGCTCCGACAGCCGGGCCTTCAGAGTCAGCGTGTAGACGAAACACAGCAGCACACCTGAGACGAAGAAGAGGACGCGGCTGCGCCTGAGTCTCCTCCTCGGAGGCGAGTGCACCTTCATGGTCTCGACTCCAAGCAGGAAGCTACGTCAGGTGCATTGCTATTCCTTGATGGCTGCTGTGCTGCTATGTGGCGCGAAGACGCCGCTGACGGAGAAGAGACTCACACTCAGACACAAAGTGTGTTTCATCTTTCACAGCGGGCAGCTTCAACCTGTGGAAGGACTGAAGAGCAGAAAACACACACAGCTGTAAAAAGCACACCATCCTGAACATGTGTAACATCCTCTTTGCTTGAATTGTTGCAGATCTGCTCAAGTGTGTGAGCTGATGGAGGATGCAGACAGCCACCTGTTACTATGGCTACATAATCACTCAGGCTTTGCCTTCCCACAAAACAGGAGTCCATTGAAAACACGTCAAACACGTTAAAGCGAGAATAAAATGAAAATAATAATAATAAAAAGCGGTCAAACATCAAAACAGAAGCAATTAATTCCGGATGTACTACATTTATCGTTAAAGCGGGAGCGCGTGCACGGAGGGAGCGTGATAAAATGCGCGCGTGCAGCGAGTGATAATTAAACATTAATTAAGCAGAACATCAGCGCGTTAACATCCCCGGTAACAAAAACCACTAAATCTAACACTACCAGCGCGTGTTGGGGTTTAAGTGTGACGCCAGCGCGGATTGTGATGCCGGTCGATGGAGCCCAATCGTTAATCTATAATCAATCACTGTTCAAAAATACTTCCATAGAGGCAACAAGAGGCAGAAAGCGGCGGTGAGCGCCGAGAGGAGGTGCGGGTCCTACCTGTAGCTCCGGCTGCTCGGCCCCTCGCGGCCGCTCAGCGTCCCTCCAGCTGTGCGCAACGGACGCAGAGATGCTGACTCCGGTTTTTGGGGAGCTACAAGGGCGCACCGCATGTCAGGGCTGGAGCGGAGCTCAGCATAATGCCGCTAAGAGGATTAGGAGCCGCACACCTCTCACCTTCCCTTTCACACATATCGCTGTATCAATACACCAACATTCACAGCCCGCTGGAGGCACAGCGGTGACAAGTTCTGGGCTCACAGGAGGAGTTTGGGTTGGGTGTGCTCAGTGTGGAGCTGACTACATGTCAAATATATTCAACATAGACACAGTCTAAAACACGTTTCTATTTCTTCTGTTTTTGTTTAGGACCAGGTTTGATTCATGTCTGGGAAACTGACTTCATGTGAATAAAAATAAACGGCTTTTTTGGTTTATGTGTAAAAGTTTGCTTCACATCAGTAATTTTCTAATGTGAAACATGTTTTGTCATTAAATAATACTAAGTTAGTGTACAAACCTACTTTCACTAATTGCATGTAATCACAACCAGTTTTGAAATATGAACAGAGTTTGCACTAAACTTTAATAACTGAATTTAAAATAGAACAATTAATTTTGAAAGAGTTTTCCACTGAGCTGGTTGACTATAAATCCATATCAGAAAAAAACTGGTACGTTGATGTAAAGCAGAGCAGCAACCAACAGTTATTTGTATTTTTTAGTTCATGGGATTATTTCCCAGATTCAACTACTTCTTCTCCACCACTTTTTCCAAAAGCACAAGTTTACATGTTCAGATCAGATGATTTTGATTTTTCAGCTTACAGTTACAGATTACTACAAAAAACAGCAAATACTCTGGTTTTAAAACTAGAACTGGTGACGAAGCAAAAGACACAATTCCAGCTATTACAGATGAAATGTTTTACCTGCGTTACAGTTGTTCTGGCTGATCGGAGCTCTGCTGAGGCTGAAGTCGGGCTGAGAAAAGCTGCAGATTAGCTGAGGTAGTTAAAAAGTCCAAATAAAGATGGTAAGTTTCAGTTGTGTCACCCTAACAGAGGAAAGTCAACTTTTATGAGAAGGAGCGTGACGGAGGTTTCAATCAAAGTCTGTAAAGCGACTGGTTCAATCAGGTGAAGTGAGAACACCTGAGGCTTTAACAGCCAATTATCACAGCAGCATCTGATGATACTATATTGTATATATAATATTATAAATTACTTCAAATGTTATATGAATTAAACAATATCAAACAAACAAGAATGGTCCTAAAAACAAAAGGAGTTGCTGTTTCTAACCTGGATTTATGTAGCTCGAGTCCATTGGCTGTTTAAATATGTTTTACTTTTGTCCCATGTCTGTTGTCATGTTTGATTTGATCACTTTTATAACCTCACAATGGCGCATTTTCTTGGTCAAGTCAAAAATAAAGGTTTTTAGTGTAGAAAGCTGTATGTATCTGTGGTCCCTTGTTGTTTTAATGTGTTTGTTTGTTTTTTTTTTCAAATATAATTTTTGTTCCTTATATTGGCTTCTTGGCCAGGTCACCGTCAAAACAAACAAACAAACAAAAATGGCTAAATCAAAAAATAAAATAAAAAATTAGAATGACAACTGTAGCTAACATCAAGCCTAAACTTGGAAATTAAATAAAACATTATGGTCAAAATTTCTGACTGTGTCCAGGTTTCCAAGAGAACGTTGTGAGGTTGTTACAGCCATTACAGTGACTTAATTATATAAGTGTGTGTGTGTGTGTTTGTGTGTGTGTGTATAAAGCAGAGTAAAGCACATAAAAATAAGGAGTATTAAAAACAAAACAAGAAAGATTCCTAAAAAAAGACAGAAATTGCTATTCCTAAGCTGGATTCTATTTTATGTATCTGTCGTCTCTTCTAATGCGTTTTATTTTTGTCATGCTTGATTTTTTTTTATCACTTTTGTAGCCGTACAGTGGGATGCTGTCTTGGCTAGCCCTGCCTCAAAAATTTTAAAATCAAGAGACTTCAAAGTTAAATAAAAACCTTAAACTTCGACGCAGACGCTAAACTCCAACCTGCTGACAATCAAATAAAAAACAAATTAAGCGTATCTGGTTAACTGCTAAATTTTCAATATTGTTGGAAAGTATCCAGATGAGCTGGAGAGTTCCTGGGGTTGTTACCTTCATTATGATGACTTCATTTGTATTTAAACTTTGTATTTCAATGCAGAAAGCTGGAAGAAGCATGAGAGAACTTATATATATATATATTAAATATTACTGTTTTCATCAAACTTAATCACGAAAACTAATCTTAAGGTGCCTGTATGTTCACTGCATCTGAGATTTCTTTGGAATACACAGTATTTGTGCACAAAATACAGGATGTTTTGTGACCTGTCTCTTACTTTGCAGTCATATTAAAAATGGATCTCTTAATGTGCATCTTGGTGGCCATGTTTACATGAGAAAACTGACAAAATGTGAAACTATCCTTCAAACATCCCACATGATTCAGAAATGTGTTCTCCTATAAACTGATAATCATCTCAGGATCAGACAGATGTTCTTTGAGATGGATGAGTGCTCTCTAACGAGGTTTAGCACATCCTGAAGAAGATGTAAACATCTACAGGATTTGACATCAAACCACTGCATCAGAATCACGAGTGTGGACTTATTTCTACTCCTGCACTGACATACCTCCTGGTGGTAACGATGGACACCAGCTACCTGCAGCTCACCTACTCTCATCCTGATCTCTCCCTCTACTGCCATGTCTGACGTCTGCATCTCCACTTTAAAAGTATCTGCTGAACAGAAAACACCAAAACAACATCACAAAAGGAGAAAAGAAATCCCATCTTTAAAATAGGAATGTTTATTTTTTTTTCAGGAACATCTTAAAAGAAGCCAAACGTTGGACTTTCACGTCTGCAGAAGAACTTTAAAAATGGATTTTTAAGCACTCAGCTGTGTGTCCACTACAGATGTTTCCCAAATGACACCCTCCAAAAAAACACAAAATAAAAGCAACATTTTCAGCAAACACACATAAATTAAAGAGAAAAAAAAGGCTTTGAAATGGTGAACAGGTAAGTGAGCAGTGAAGAACTGGAAAGGAAAGAAACAAGACATCAACTCGCTAAGTTTTGCTCTTAATTTACAGTCAGTAACATAAATGATAAGATCGTGGTGGACGGCTCATGAACGACTCTTTAGAAATGATTGATAAACTGCTAAATCTCAAGTACAAGCAATGATTTCCTTCATTTCAATGTGACTAAACTTTCACAGGCGCTGTGTTTTTCATATTTCAAGTTTAGGGGGTCCACATAAGGCAAAAAAAAAATCTGATCAAACAGTAAAAATAAAATGACAAAAGTTAGAAAAACGTTCAAATTAAAACTACCAAATATTTATTATGATAGGCTGCTAAGTTTTTCAAAGTAAATCCATCTAATTACTAACAAAACTTCCCTTTATCCTTTAAAAG